TAAAAAGAATAGCACACAAAAGTTATAAAAAATCACTATTAACACATCACATAAAATAAAAACAAAATTTAAAAAGCAGACTGTCTGTAATTGAAACTAGCTGCCTTCAAATCACAACTAAAATGCCAAATTGTCAATATCATATCAGCCCATTTCAGCCTACTCAAGACCAAAGCCTGCTTAAAAATCCATATTTTTAGGCTGAATCAGAAGGATGGGGGCTATCCTAATCTCTTTGGGAGGGGGCTATTCCATAGCTGGGGAGCCACTACAACAGTGGTCTGTGGACTATCAGTGGCCCACAAGAATGAAAATATGGTCTGTGGCTTCACCATTACTCCACTGTTGCTTTGAAACCACACGGTGTCAGAAAATGCAATTTTCTGTATCAGCACCCCAAATAACCAAACTGAATTTAAAGTTGACCAAAAACTGATTCATAACCCTTTTGGTACTAATGTTGGAGAGTGGTCCCTAGTCAAAGTGGTCCCTGGTCAATTGGTTCATGGACAAAAGAAGGTTGGGAACCACTGCACTACGGAGAAGGCCTTCTCTCATCCTCTGCAACCGTGCTTGAGACAGTGGTGGAAATGAGAAGGGCCTCCCCTGCTATCTCACTCTCTTCCAGGAGTGAGTTCCCCTTCAGAGGGGTAGATTCTTCTCACTTACTGTTGTCTCACCCCTGTTCTTAACTAAGAGTCATTTGTAAGTTGGGCGTTTGTAACTTGGGGGCTGCCTGTGGATGTGGTGGAGCCGGTTTGCTTGGAATTATTACCAAAGGTTCTGTGCACATAATTTATTTATTTATTTATTTATGACATTTATATGCCGCCCTTCTCACCCCGAAGGGGACTCAGAGCGGCTTACAAGGTATATATACATACAATATATTATTAACATAGTACAATATCAGTTTTAAATATTGCTATATTGCACTATATCAATTATACTGTAATATTATTAGTAATATTACATGTAATAAAAATATATAATTAAAATACCTTTCGGACCGCATCTCGGCCTATGAGCCCACGAGGACCTTGAGATCGTCTGGGGAGGCCCTTCTCTCGATCCCGCCTGCTTCACAGGCACGTCTGGCGGGGACGAGAGAAAGGGCCTTCTCGGTGGTGGCCCCCCGGCTGTGGAACAACCTCCCTGCTGACATCAGACAGGCGCCCTCCCTTTTGTCCTTCCGTAGGAGTCTGAAGACCTGGCTATTTGAGAAGGCATTCAACTGAGCGCTACGGCAATTGGTAATTGACAACTGGAACGGAATATGGATTATGATATCGGTTATGATTCTATGATGTGACGGAGCGGATTATTTAGTGTAATTTAGATTATAGTGTTTATTGTTGTATTGATTTCCTGTTTTGCCCTTTTGTAAACTGTTTTTTATATGTTGTGCACCGCCGCGAGTTGCCCTAGGGCTGAGAGCGGCGGTCAATAAATGCAGTAAATAAATAAAAATAATATCATATTATTATTAGTAGTATTATATTGCATTACATTTCAATATTATAAATATAATATGTATATACAATATATTATATTATAACATATTATTAGAATAGCACAGGAGACAAGGTGGAACTGTCCCCTGGCCCCCCTTTCTTCGCTCTGGCCGAGCAGCAGTTGGTGCTGGGGGAGGGGTCCCCAACGGATGGCAAATGCAGGAGACAAGACGGTGCTGTCCCCTGGCCTCCCTTCTCTTCGCTCTGGCCCAGAGCGGCAGTTGGTGCTGGGGGAGGGGTCCCCAACGGATGGTAAATGCAGGAGACAAGATGGTGCTGTCCCCTGGTCTCCCCTCTCTTCACTCTGGCCCAGAGCGGCAGTTGGTGCTGGGGGAGGGGTCCCCAACGGATGGCAAATGCAGGAGACAAGATGGTGCTGTCCCCTGGCCTCCCCTCTCTTCGCTCTGGCCCAGAGCGGCAGTTGAGGCATGGGCAAACTTGGGCCCCCTCCAGGTATTTTGGACTCCAACTCCCACTATTCCTAACAGCCTCAGGCCACTTCCTCCCCCCGCCCCAGCCACCTAAATTGTTTGTTTTTTTGTTTTTTTGTTTGTTCATTCGTTCAGTCGTCTCCGACTCTTCGTGACCTCATGGACCAGCCCACGCCAGAGCTCCCTGTCGGCCGTCACCACCCCCAGCTCCTTCAAGGTCAGTCCAGTCACTTCAAGGATGCCAGCCATCCATCTTGCCCTTGGTCGGCCCCTCTTCCTTTTACCTTCCACTTTCCCCAGCATAATTGTCTTCTCTAGGCTTTGCTGTCTCCTCATGATGTGGCCAAAGTACGTCAACTTTGTCTCTAGTATCCTTCCCTCCAATGAGCAGTCGGGCTTTATTTCCTGGAGGATGGACTGGTTGGATCTTCTCGCAGTCCAAGGCACTCTCAGAACTTTCCTCCAACACCACAGCTCAAAAGCATCGATCTTCCTTCGCTCAGCCTTCCCTAAGGTCCAGCTCTCACATCCGTAGGTGACTACAGGGAATACCATGGCTTTGACTAGGCGGATCTTTGTTGCCAGTTTGATGTCTCTACTCTTTACTATTTTATTGAGACTGGACATTGCTCTCCTCCCAAGAAGTAAGCGTCTTCTGATTTCCTGGCCACAGTCTGCATCTGCAGTAATCTTTGCACCTAGAAATACAAAGTCTGTCACGGCCTCCACATTTTCTCCCTCTATTTCCCAGTTGTCAATCATTCTTGTTGCCATAATCTTGGTTTTTTTGATGTTTAGCTGCAACCCAGCTTTTGCGCTTTCTTCTTTCACCTTGATTAGAAGGCTCCTCAGCTCCTCCTCGCTTTCAGCCATCAGTGGTGTCATCTGCATATCTGAGGTTGTTAATGTTTCTTCCAGCAATTTTCACCCCAGCTTTGCATTCATCAAGCCCCGCACATCACATGATGTGTTCTGCATACACGTTAAAAAGGTTGGGTGAGAGTATGCAGCCTTGCCGTACGCCTTTCCCAATCTTGAACCAGTCTGTTGTTCCGTGGTCAGTTCTGACTGTTGCTACTTGGTCCTTGTACAGATTCCTCAGGAGAGAGACAAGGTGGCTTGGTATGCCCATCCCACCAAGAACTTGCCACAATTTATTATGATCCACACAGTCAAAGGCTTTAGAATAGTCAATGAAGCAGAAGTAGATGTTTTTCTGAAACTCCCTGCCTTTCTCCATTATCCAGCGGATATTGGCAATCTCGTCTCTCGTTCCTCTGCCTTTTCTAAACCCAGCTTGAACATCTGGCAACTCTCGCTCCATGTATTGCTGGAGTCTTCCTTGCAGGATCTTGAGCATTACCTTACTGGCATGAGAAATAAGGGCCACTGTACGGAAGTTTGAGCAGTCTTTCGCATTTCCCTTTTTTGGTATGGGGATATAAGTTGATTTTTTCCAGTCTGATGGCCATTCTTGTGTTTTCCCTATTTGCTGGCATATGGCATGCATCACCTTGACAGCATCATCTTTTAAGATTTTAAACAGTTCAGCTGGGATCCCGTCGTCTCCTGCTGCCTTGTTGTTAGCAATGCTTCTTAAGGCCCATTCAACCTCACTCCTCAGGATGTCTGGTTCTAATTCATTCACCACACCGTCAAAACTATCCTCAATATTATTATCCTTCCTATACAGATCTTCTGTATAGTCTCGCCACCTTCTCTTGATCTCTTCAGCTTCTGTTTTGTGGAGTACAACTGAAGAATTTCCTGCAAAGTCCATGGTAAACACTGCATATTGTTGCTAATAGGTTTGTGTAAATGGGCGACATTCAGAAACCTTTAACTGTTGCCAAACTTTTCATGATCTCAACAATGAGCCAAAGGGACCCCATGGGGGCTCAGGACTCGGTTTCAGAAGCAGTGCCCTAATCCTAGATTCAACAAGAATCTCAAAAGCGCTCTGCACATGACCAGGAGGACTCTGCTACTAAATCTCACAATCCCGGGTGCAGCTGTTATGGAATCATGGGAGTTGTAGATTTACAAGGTCTTTCACCTTCTGTGCCAAAGAACGCTGGTGCCTCACCGAACCACAACTCCCATGGCATTGAGCCATGGCAGTCAAAGGTGGTGTCAAACTGCACAAATAAACTACAACTCCCATGAGTCCACAGCATGACAGAGTGATGCCTGAACTCTACAAGGTAGATCAGGCACGGGCAAACTTCAGCCACCCTCCAGTCATTTTAGACTTCAACATCCACAATTCCTAACAGCTGGCTATTAGGAATTGTGGATGTTGAAGTCCAAAATGCCTAAAGGGCTGGCCAAAGTTTGCCCATGCCTGAAATAGATGCACCCTCTGTCCTAGATTCATGGAAGATCTCGAAAGCACTCTGCACATGCTCTGCAGGTTCCTTGCCAAACTACAAACCCCATGATCCTATAAGACAGGCATGGGCAAACTATAAGACAGGCATGGGCAAACCCCCCAAAAAGGGGGGTTGCTAGGAATGGTTGCTAGGAATGGTTGCTAGGAATGGTGGGAGTTGGAGTCCAAAAAGGGGGGTTGAGGTTGCTAGGAATGGTGGGAGTTGGAGTCCAAAAAGGGGGTTGAGGTTGCTAGGAATGGTGGGAGTTGGAGTCCAAAAAGGGGGTTGAGGTTGCTAGGAATGGTGGGAGTTGAAGTCCAAAAAGGGGGGGTGAGGTTGCTAGGAATGGTGGGAGTTGAAGTCCAAAAAGAGGTTGCTAGGAATGGTGGGAGTTGGAGTCCAAAAAGGGGGTTGAGGTTGCTAGGAATGGTGGGAGTTGAAGTCCAAAAAGGGGGTTGAGGTTGCTAGGAATGGTGGGAGTTGGACTTCAAAAAGGGGGGTGAGGTTGCTAGGAATGGTGGGCGTTGGAGTCCAAAACACCAGGCGGGAGGGAAGGAGGGAGGGCCCAAGTTTGCCCCTTCCTGACGTAAGGCCTGAGGCGAGAGGCGCCTTTTCTGTCCCCTGCGAGAGGGCGGGGCGCCTCCTTTGTGCCTCCAGGGGGCGCTGTTGTGGCGGAAGAGGGCGCCGTGGCTGGGCTGCGCCTCTCTTCTCCTCTCGGTGGGGCCCCGCCGTTTGGGGACGGGCCCGACTGGCCATGCCGGAGCGGGGCTGAGGCGGCTTGCGGAAGCGGGGAGTGGGCGGTGCCCGGCGCGCCGCCTTCTTTCCTCCCTTGCTTCCTTCCTTCGCGGGAAGGAGGAAGATGAGGCGGAGGCCTGAGGAGGGGCTGAGCGCGCGGCGCGGGGCGGCTTCCCTCGCGGCCGCCGGGGCAAGATGGCAGCGGCTGAGGCGGAGGCGGCGGGCCGAGGAGGAGGCTGAGCCCGGCCTGGGCTTGTAGGGGCCGCTCCCCGGGCATGGTGGCCTCGGCAGGCGCAGGGGGGACTGTGGCGCTGCTCCTGCTGCCGCCCGCTCTGTGAAGGTGAGCCACAACCCGAGGAAGGAAGGAAGGCAGGCAGGAAGGAAGGCAGGAGAAGACTCCGACCGTTGAGAGCCGTTCCCAAGCCGGCCTCGAGGAAGGCGCCAGGGTTTGGGGAGTGAGCCGCCGGAGAAGATGATAAACAGGAACTTGAGGGCCTTCTCCGCCCCCCGCGCCCCCGCCCCGCTAGGCCTGTGCTCTTCTGTCTTCTTCCCTCGCTCCCTCCCTCCACAGGGTCCTCTTCTGGGAAAGGAGCCTGGCTGCGTTTTCCCAGAAAAGGACGGGGAGAGAGGCGGGAGGGATCCGCTGCTGCTGCCTGGATCTGTTCGCTTGGCCCTTTTTTGGGACGCCGCTCGAGGACGGGCTGTACTTGGCAGCCCCTCTTGCTGGCTGGAAAGTGTTTTGACACCACTTTAAACTGCCAGGCATTCATGCTATAGGACAAGCTTGGGCCCTCCCTCCAGGTGCTTTGGACTTCAACTCCCACCATTCCTGGCAGCCTTCAGCCTCTTCCTCCCCCCCGCCCCCATGGGCAAGCTTGGGCTCTCCAGGTGCTTTGGACTTCAACTCCCACCATTCCTGGCAGCCTCAAGCTCCCTTCCTCCCCCCCCCCCCCCCCATGGGCAAGCTTGGGCTCTCCAGGTGCTTTGGACTTCAACTCCCACCATTCCTGGCAGCCTCAAGCTCCCTTCCCCCACCCCATGGGCAAGCTTGGGCCCTCCCTCCAGGTGTTTTGGACTTCAACTACCACAATCCTAACAATCTCAAGTCACTTCCTTTCCCTCCTAAATGGGCAAATTTGGGCCCTCCAGGTGATTTTGGACTTGAACTCCCACCATTCCTAACCACCTCAGGCCCCTTCCTTTTCCCCCTCATGGGCAAGCTTGGGCCCTCCAAGTGTTATGGAGTTCAACTTTCACTATTCCTAACAGCCTCAGGCCTTTTCCTTTCCTCGCTTAAGGAGTTGAGGGGGGAGAGGAAGGGCCTGAGACTGTTAGGAATTGTGCGAGTTGGAAAAACATCAGAAAGGGGGGGGGGTAAGCTTGCCCATGCCTGTTATAGGATCATGGGGTTTGTAGTTTCGCAAGGAACCTACTTCCCATCTGGTCACTGGGACGGATCAGAGCATGTGCAGAGTGCTTTTGAGATCTTCCATGAATCTAGGACGAAGGGTGCATCTATCTCAGGCATGGACAAAGTTCAGCCCTCTGGGCATTTTGGACTTCAGCATCCACAATTTGTAACAGTTGGCTATTAGGAATTGTGGGTGTTGAAGTCCAAAATGCCTGGAAAGCCGAAGTTTGCCCGTGCCTGATCTACCTTGTAGAGTTCAGGTATCACTCTGTCATGCTGTGGAGTCATGGGAGTTGTTGTTTATTTGTGCAGTTTATTTGTGCAGTTCGACACCACTTTTGGCTGCCATGGCTCAATGCTGTGGAGTCGTTGGAGCTGTGGTTTGGTGAGGCACCAGTGTTCTTTGGCACAGAAGGCGAAAGACCTTGTCAAACTACAACTCCCATCATTCCATAACAGTAGGGCCCTGGCAGGAATCCAGGGATTGTAAGATCCAGTAGCAGAGTCCTGAGCATGTGCAGAATGCATTTGAGATCCTTGTTGAATCTAGGACTAGGGCACTGCTTCTTAAACTGAGTCCTGAGCCCCCATGGGGTTCCTTTGGCTTGGTGTTGAGATCACGAAAAATTTGGCAACAGTAAAAGGTTTCTGAATGTCGCCCATTTACACAAACCTGTTAGCAACAATGTGCAGTGTTTACCATGGCCTTTGCATGGCTAACAGGTTTGTACTCCACAAAAAGAGAAATCAGCCTTGCAAATGCTGATTTATTTTCAGTAGATGTTTGATTTGTATATCTATTTTACATACCAATGTATCTGGGGCCATTTAAAAATTTCCCAGGCAGAAAGGGGTCGCAAATGGAAGAAATTTGGGAAGCTCTGGACTGGCGTATCTGAGATAAAGACACGGTTTCCAAGGTAGACTTCAGCCCTGGAGGTTTCTTTCTAGAGGTCAGAAATCAGCCTAGCTCTGGCCCTTAACTCACCCTAGGCCTGAAGCTGATGCCCCAGTGAACAAGGGGTACAGTTTGATCCCACTAACTGCCATGGCCCAGTGGTATGGAAATATGGGAGTTGTAGTTTGGTGAGGCCCTAGCACTCTGGTTCAGAAGGCTGAAAACCTCAAAACCGTAGGCAACTAAAGTCATGTGGAAATTCCCATTACATCTATAATGTAGTAGATGCTTCTTAGGAGGAGGAGGGGACCTGAGGGAAAAACATGGCTTCTAGGGTAGACTTGAACCTTTCATATCATAGAATCTAGATTTGGAAGAGACCAAAAGAGTCATATACTGAACTCATCCCAAAGTTGATGTCTCATTGAAAAAGCTGTAACTTTTGCTCTGGAGGGGCATATCTCCATTTTCTTAAACAATTCCCTCCCTCTTCCTCACTGTACAAAGTTAGTTGAACCAGGAAGCAAGCGACGCTTCCTGCTACCAACAAACAGTGGAGTATATTATAAATAGTTCTGCCCCCTTTTCCCATTGTCACTTTCTGGGGCGTTCTTTGGCCTTCGGCAACCAGAAATTTCTCTTTTGTGTGTCTCTCAGTTGCTTCCACACGCTTCACAAGCTCCCCCCCCCCCCCACTTTGCCTGGCCTTTTGCTAGATGAGCTGTGTAAATCTAACCTTTAGGATCCCTGTGTATGAAAGAAGAAATGTGACCCGGCTGCTCGGCTTGCAACTTGCTGGGGCAGCAGGAAGGCGTGGTCGCAGGCTGCTCTTGTTTCAGGGGGTCATTGCTTCCCTTGGGGACTCAGAGGTAATCTGCCTCTCTTGTTTCGGGAAAGTAATATTTATTTCCACATCAGTGGGGCAAAAGCAAACTTAAAATGGTACACGGAGGCATCGCTTGGGACTGGCAGTCGTTCAGAGTGAAGGTGACTTAAAACTGAGGTTTGACCACAATTGATAGATTAGGACTCTTGGAAGCGAAATACTGGTGGTTAGGTTGGTCTCAGATCCCCTCCCCCTCCATTCATATTGATTTTGTCCAGAATGGAAAGATGTATTGGAACGTTACTATTTGCACTATAAGGCAGTTGGGTTTGTAGTTTTTGATTGCTAGATGACTAGCTTTTATATTAATTTGGGACATTAACTTTTTGAAGTTAAGGTATATTGCTGCTGAAGTTGTTAAGCAGATAAACATATGATTTCTATCTGGGCATAGGGGTGCTTTTAATATAATAATTTAATATTTTTATTAATAACTATTTTATTAATTTGGGTCAAAAAAATTTAGTTGCTTGTGTTCCTATTTTTATCATTTTTATACCTTTGTATGCAATGCTTTGATACGAAGTAACAAATATAGCAGCTCTGTTGTGTAAGATAGTTAAATTGATAACTAATTGTCTTCAGTGTTACTTTTAAGAAAATGCTTTTAATTTCTTTAAAATTCTGAGACTTAAAATTCAATTTCCACCCCCCTCTAGACATGCTAATTTGAATAAGTGTCATTTTGGACAGGCACTTTGTGTGTGTTTTATAAGTTAGATGTTGGGCTCTCTTGGCCACAGATGTTGGTGTCTTATTCTCATGTGCCTTGTGAAACCAGATACTGGGATATGCATGTAGCTAATTTTGTAAATGCACTTATATTAAGCAATGACTGTGCACTGAGTGTACTCTAAATCATTGGGTTTTTTTTGTTTTATTCTGTTAATATCTAGTTTATTAGTCTTTTAAATAACACATGTTGGTAGATCGTTGGAATCTTTGTTTAAAATAGACTACTGGGAGGTTTTTGTGGAGATTAAAAACAACAACCCTGAAACCTCTTTATAGCTCTACTTAGGCTAATTAGAAAGCTATGCTGCTCAGCCTCCTCATAGTAAAGTAGTTAGCATGTTAAATATAGCTAACGTGTTAAATAAAACTGCAGTATAACATTTGTTGTGAATTGTGAATTCATGAACATGCTAAGGAGTAATGTTCTGATATATTTAGATTTCTAGCTTGTTGGAGACATTTTCCAAGTGGTGTTAGAAAACAAATTCTGTGACAAAGTTGTTATGGTGCCTAATTTTGATAGAAGTGTCAGTAAGCAAGCAGATTAGCAAATATATATTTAGGTCAAGGCTCTGGTAGAAGATGAATTTCTGAATGAGCATGTTCTTTTAAAAAGATTGTGATTCAGTGGAAAAATACCACACCGGGGCACACATGCATGACCTTCTCTACTTTTTATGAGTAAATCTACATATATGTGGTTTTTCAGGAGTAAGCCCATTGAGTTCAGTAGGGCTTGCTCCTCATAAGGATTGCATTCTGAAACACTTGCTTTTCGTATTTCAGATCTTTTTAAACTAGCACCTGTTTTCAGAGACTTGGCTATATTGCACTGTGATATCAAAATAGCAGTCTTGTGGCACCTTAAAAACATTTATTATGACATAACAGTCTTTATTCCATGATTGTGTAAGCCATAGCAAAATCCAAAAGGTACATTGCGGTGATTAAGTCAAGTAAAAGAGGCAAAAAACATTACTCATATACAAACCATAATAATTGTTTTAGTCTTTAGGGTATTTGAAGAGTCTTTGTTGTGTAATGGGTTGTCGATGATGTAAGCATGGGAATCTGAGGCACTTGTGTACAATGGTAATCACTAAAATATGCTAATGACATCCACAGGGGAAGTAGGTGGCAGTTCAAAAGCCAGAGAAGAGCATAACATGGGGAGGACTCTGGCACAAACGTATTTATGGATATTTTTAGTTCATCTTTCTTTAATGTAGGATACCTTTAAATAGAAAAATCATGTCCCCTACTGGTCTCAATATTTAAAGTAGGACTTCCTTAACGCAAGAGAAATGTATGATGTCACCAGCATTATATAAATTGTCAAAAAAGCGACAATTTGATATTGAATTAATTTTTTAGTTTTCTGACCTATATTTTCTGAACATGCTGGAATAAAAAATAGATGTCTATTATTACTGTCAAGTAGCATCTTTATACTACTTCAAAGAGTATTTCAATACTGAATTTTGTGTCTGATTAGATTGAAAAACAATTCTAAAATTAAGGTTCTCTGTTTTTCACCTTTTTTCAAGAAGACACTAGGTGGGATGATATGCTTGATGGCTAAAATCCTTGGAATAATGGAGAAGTAAGGACAGATAATTGGACGGAGCAGTAGAGGGGTATGATTCCTTTTTTTTTGTATTCTCTTAAAACCATTGCAGCTGAGGACAGACCACAAATGTTGGGGGAGGGGGCAGAAAGGGATTCTTAATTATTTTCCTGTTTTGTCAGTTTTCACTTCAATATTCTCCTTTCCAATTTGTTTCTCTCTAGCTTGGAGTGGGAGTGGGGGTGTGATTTGGGGAACCTTTCTTGATTGGGACTGTGTTCACAAATATTCCCACCTCCCTAAAAATGTACTTGCTGACAAAATCCTCCAAAGTATTTCTGTTAAAAAAATAAACATTATTTTACGTTTCCATTGTACACACAATTCCTTACTCAATTTTTTTGAGGATATAATTCTTTGGCTGCAAGGCAAGAAGTTTCTTACCATGTTTTCTTTGGTTTCTTGTAGTAGAAACCTCTGCTTCTTGTTTTGTCTACAGTATTTTTTCCCTCTTTAATTTAAGAGATAATTATATCTTTCTCTAATTACCTTCTCGAGGCCAAGTCAAATCATGTTGTGTTACTTTCTAAGTAATAATTTAAGACAATTGTTCTGCTTAACAATATTTTAACATTGAGTGATTGTACCTCTACTTCATACCGTTCCCTTTTTAGTTTTGATAAATTCAGTTTTTGGAGATTTTAAACCAGAAAGTTAAAACTTGTTCTAGAGTAAGTTTAGCAACTGTATAACTTAAAATGAAACAGACATACATTCTTGGAAGGAGGGCAGAGGTATAGAGTCTTTATTGGAAACTGGTTGCTCTCATATTATAATGGTTTATAAATGCAACAGTCATAAGGAGATACGGTTACTAGAATGTACTTGAAGAATAAACAGACTGAGCTTTGAGAATGGAAAGCATGACTCATGAGCCAGCCAATCAGGAAAGTTCCAGTGTGTTTAATTTGAATATTCAGCTTTTAAAAACTAAAGATTGATAGTCCTTTACTGTAATTTGTACCAAACTGAAACATGTTGGTTTGTTTCCATGTAATAATGAAACCTGTCAGTTTTTTTCTCTTTTGGTTTTACATATAGACTGTGCTTATTAGCAAATATTAGTTGCCTGAAAATATGCAGTTCTCTTTAACGGGGTAGACCATCCTATCCTATTTTTATTTGGGAATCAAAAGAAATTGAAGGCCAGTTGTTATGGAGGAGGGCAGGAAAGTTACACTCCTACTATCTCTGAGTAATTGAGCAGCTTGTAGCCTTGCTCAAACATCTGTTATAGTGTGATGACATTGAATGCACAGGTTGTAAATGAAAATGGACAGTACCATGGTGTTTGATATAGGATTTCATGTTGTCAGCTGTGAACACCAAGTATGTTAAAAGGTACTCTTATATTATGCAGCGGTTTATGTGGAACTCTATCATGACTCCGTCATACTACCTTGACTGATTCTCTTGATGGACCTTTCCATGTTCTGGAGCACTTTAAAATGCCTTCCTACTAGTTAAATTTTTCTTAGTGTTTAATGTTTTTAATATGTACTTTTGAACAAGGTAAAGCTGAAAAAATCTTAAATATATACCTTTAATTGGTAATTTATTTATTTATCATGTCAGGGCAACCAGACAATTGTATAACATTTCTAACAGAACAAAACAAACAGACAAAACACAAAGTTTGCAAGCTTGGTAGTTCATTAAATGTCCTTTGACCAGTATCTGGCCACTTGGAGTGCCTCTGGTGTTGCCGCAAGAAGGTCCTCCATTGTGCATGTAGCAGGGCTCAGGTTGCATTGCAGCAGGTGGTCAGTGGTTTGCTCTTCTCCACACTCGCATGTCGTGGATTCCACTTTGTAGCCCCATTTCTTAAGGTTGGCTCTGCATCTTGTGGTGCCAGAGCGCAGTCTGTTCAGCACCTTCCAAGTCGCCCAGTCTTCTGTGTGCCCAGCGGGGAGTCTCTCATTTGGTATCAGCCATTGGTTGAGGTTCTGGGTTTGTGCCTGCCACTTTTGGACTCTTTTGAAGGTGTACCAGCGAATGTCTTGGTAATATACTAATTGGTGATATACCAAATTGGGTTTCTGTGGCACAAAATCTACCATATTGACATGTTTTCTGTGGTGATATGCTTAAATGGCAGTTGGAACATACCAATTCTAGACTTTTGGCTGTTGGTAAAAAAGTGTTGAATTCTCATAAATCTACTAACAGCATAGTTATTCGCACAAATAACTTCTTCCCCTTTTCTGATTTGCCCAAAGCAGCAGATACTTTTGTGTGTGTATGGTTTAATACTATGTTCTCCTGCATGTGCTGCTTGGAATTTATCTGCTTTGACATGCCTTGAACTGCTTTCCCTGCAGCAAAAATGAAGGCAGGTATAACAGGCCTAGACTGGAGTGTGTCTCAGAAGAATTTTGATCCCCCCTTATTTCTCTGTAGAAAATAATTTGTGTTAACAGGTATGTCTTTTTTGCTCTGCTCTAAGTACATTTACAAAAGCAAATAGATCAAATGCATAAATTTGTCTGCTGTTATAAATATTTTTGCAGCTTTAAAAGGATTCTCCTATCTTGTAGTGATTATTAAGAGTTGTGAGGAAGAAAGAGAATGACTTTTTAATTTTTTTTGTAGATGTATTATGAGTAATATTTCTTTCCTTTCATTTTTCTGAAAAATCCCCCTTTCCCAAAATAGCTTGTTCTGAAAGGCCTAAAGTAAACTATGTGGATGTAAGTGTCCTGGAGAAAACATAACGGAAAAGTAAATGAGAGGTTGCAGTTAGGATGAAAGGAATGGTAAAATGAAGGAGCTGCTTAACCTTTAGCTTTCTGATGTTTTCCATTTAGAATGTTGCCTCCATTCTCTTGATCCTTATCTTTTGACTCAGAGATAGAAAATCATAAACAGGTTGTATAAAAAACAACTGGCAGGCAAAGGGCTAGGCCATCTTCTATGTCTGATCAGCTCTGAGTAGCTTTAAAAAAAAACCCATCTGGACATACAGTTAGAGAACACATCTCCCATGTAATATCTAGTTTGATTTTGAGATAGATGTGGGAAGAGAATGGAGTCTGGAAACGGATATTTAACTCCATTTGTAGTTCTGCCAGCCTAGGTCAGATTTTTGCTGAGAGTTGCCATGAGTACAATTCCACCAACACGGGTACCGTATTGTGACCTTGGTTGTTGCTGTCCAGAATATTTTGCTGCTCTTTGCACCTATTATAATTAGCACTTGCAGAAACAAAAAATTGCATTAAACAGTTCTAGTCATTCGCAATTTCTGGATTGAACAAAATATCTGCTTGTTTTAGACTAGTGGTTCCCAAACCTTTCTGGCTATGGAACCCTTTAGAAGACATGTTCCCCACAGAAACCTAACTCTAACCCTGTTTTTTTTTTTTTACTAAGCATTGTAAACCCACAAAGTTTTTGCCTTCTTTCATCTACTCCAGTGGTTCTCAATCTGTGGGTCCCCAGATGTTTTGGTCTTTAACTCCCAGAAATCCTAACAGCTGGTAAACTGTCTGGGATTTCTGGGAGTTGCAGGCCAAAACACCTGGGGACCCACAGGTTGAGAACCACTGATCTACTCCTATTGCCTTAGTGCAACGTAGCACGTTTGGAAATAAAGAGTAAGTATAACTACAAACATGAGATTGCCCTGAACTGACCTGAATGAAGGGAGTAGTGGTATGTTAATATTTATAAGACAAAAAACCTTCTGGATGTTGCTAGAAAAGCCAAGAGCACTCTAGCGTGTGTTGCAAGGAACGTTTCTTGGAGCTTCCATGCACTTTCCCTGGATAGGTGGTGTGGGTCTAAAATGCTGGGCTATTATAAAATGCCTTTTGTTGGCAAGTAGGTGTTTGGAGCTTCTGCCAACCTAGCAGAAGATGTGAATAGATTAATAGGTAATGCTCTGGTGGGAAGGTAACGGCACTTCATGCTGGCCACATTACCTTAGAGGCGTCTACGGACAATGCCAGCTCTTCGGCTTAGAAATGGAGATGAGCACCATCACCCAGAGTCTGACATGACTAGACTTAACGTCAAGAGGAAACCATTACCTTTAGGTGTGTGGAGATAACCAGTACCTCTCATTCGTTAGAGGCGATCAAATGGATGGTCTAATGGGGTTTTATTTTAAAATCAGTTTTAAATTAGATTTTAAAGATTTTTTGTGGAATGCTAGAGTTCCGCAGAACAGAGTTTGGAAATCACTGTTTTAGACACTTTATCCCATAAATAATATATGTAATCACAACATATTGTAATGTATTCTATCACGTTTTGCCAGACAAAGTATTTAGTTACTTCCAGAAAAAAATGTGTTTTAAATCAACTCAGTGTGGCTATTTTATAACTGGTGATATCTCTTCTTTCCTCTGGTATCTCCCTTTCATAAACCTAGAGGAGGGAACAGAATTGTGATGCAAAATTGATTTGTAGTAGCTTTGTAGAAAGATTTTAAAATAATCAATTTGGCCAAGGTGTTCTTATATTGCTATCTAACTTACACACAGACATCACCTAATTTTTCTCTTGTCTAAATTTCCATATCCTTTTCCTTTGAGTGGACTGCAAAGTATTTGCCTTTGGATTAGCTTGTAAATTGTGGGATTCTTGAGACAGGGTCTGCTGACCTATATCTGTTTTAGAATTTCTGTCTGGTGAGTCAGGGTCTGTTCTCTTCATACCTACCTTATTTGGTATTTATTTGTCTGAGGAATTGCAGTTACTGATTAGTTCTGTTTTGAGTTATGATGCTCTTATAGTTTGGAGTTTAGATTAGGGCAACTTGGGTTGGATAACATTATCTACTTTAAGCAGATTAACTTTGTATACTAGTATTTCCTCAGGTTTGTAATGCAACTTTTTGTGTTGATTGACACTCCAGTCTTTACATTTCTGCACTGTTACATAAAATAGAATTCAGATTTGCATTTAATTCACCTCATAGTTTTCATGCTGTTAACCTAGAGAAAGTTACCATTAAAATGTACTACAAAAGCTCTTGTATTTGAGAAAATGGAAGCTCAAACACAC